AGATGATAGACCAACACAGTGACTAGGTTTCTTCAGAAACTCTGATACCAATCAGGACATCTATAGTTCAAATAACATGACACTATTTACAATTCTTAAATCTTATAAAGACATGGTGTCTTTATCAAAATACACTCTTAGGGAGGCAAACAATTCATCAACTTTCAATTAAGTGTTGATTTAATTGCTTATTAAATTAAAAGCAGTTCCAATTGATTAAGTAATGACATACTTTCACATCTTCTTTTAGTGTTGTATTTTGGCTGCCATCCATAAGAGGCCACCACTGAGCATCCTTTAGCAAGCCAGTTGATACAGAAACAAAGATGGCAGGGCCATACCAGAACAGCAAAAATAAATGGTCCAGTGTTGGATGCAAAATGCACTTATGTGGTTCTGTTTTGAAATATAAACACTTGACAAGCTTCTCAAGTTCTCACCTTAATACAGCTGACTCAGGGAATTGTTAAAATATATTTGTTTGGTTGTTGTTACAAATTAAGCATTTCAAGAAAAATGTAGCCTTTTTATGTTATTTAAAGACGTCCAACTGTCTTGATACAAGAGAAAACTTCAGGAGCCAGGCAGCGCAGTCATTGGCCAAGAGGTTATTGTTCAGACATGTTTCTTCTGTCTGAGGAAAATGGATGTCACAGGCCATTAACCACATGATCATTACAGCGTCTCACAAAATAAACAAAAGTTACAAAAGCTGTTTTGTGATATAGACTCTACTTACATTTAAAGAGGTAGTGCACAGAGAAACAGAAACAACTGATTTAAAAGTTTTCAGTTTCTTTGTTACAGAGGAATTTATCTGTTAAATATTCCTACTGGAAACTTGTTTCTGTTTTATTTAAACCATAACAGTAAATCGTTACAGTGTATACATATATTTGCTGTTAACCGTCTGTGACACGCAGAGCAAGGGACTTTTCCTTCTAAGGTAAAAGCAGCCAGTAGGCTTCTGGTGATTGTCAATACTTCAGCAGGGTAAGTGGGGTAGAAGATGCACTTGAACACACCACCAAGCAACATCTGCCTAGTGCCTACCGAACATACTGTAATCTCAAGCACACATGGGTTATGAAGCAGAATAATAGTTTAAAGCCAACCAGCAATTATGCCTCTGAATGGCTTGAAAACAAAAAAACCCCAACAAACTTAATGTTTTCGAGCAGCCTATTTAACGGTGTGTGACTAAAAAGCAAAAAACAATCAGATCTCTAAGGGATTTTTTTACACCTATGAGTAGGGGAGGGCAATACAGACTTAAAGTTTTTATCACAATATTTTGTTCTGCTGTTCTGGTAACAATAAAAAATACAATAAAAACTGTTACTTTGTTTTTAGTTAGTTGTATAGATGTGACTCCATAGCAGAGCAATCAAAGCCCCATAAACTTGAATAATGCTTTTGGAAAAACAATACACATTTGCACTTTTTTTAGGACACCACTGCCATAAAGAATATGATTTGTATCAAAAAACTGAACACAGTATCAGCATTTAGTCATACTTTTGAATTTCTTGATATTTCTTGATACTACTCTTGAAGAAACATAGAAAATAGTAGCAATAATCCTGTATGGGCAGTTTTAGGGGATTTTAAACATTATTAATTGAAATTTATCATGACAATGATAAATCAAAATTCTTACAAAAATAAAATTATCATTATAAATGATAAACAATATATTAATAATGATTAGGTTCTAATTGGTTTCCATCAGTGTGATGCAGGACTTGGATTTGCTGTAGAGCAAAATCCAATTCTAGATGTTTGGATACATTTTTTAATCTTTATTTTGCTTCAAAATTGCATTTTTCATTCCATTGAATAATTATCATTTGACCCTTTCAAGTTAATATTTAAGATCTATATTTTATCTTGTAGGGGTTTTTTTGTTGCTGTATTTTGATGTACCAAAATGCCCTCATATGCATTAAAAATGCAGCAGGAAACATCCAGATGGTGATTAATAAACTCACATATGTCTTCATTAAAAAAAAAGAGGTCAGAGGAATCAGAGTGTGCACACGAGTCCGTGTAGATCTAATATGATTCATGTATATGAATTTAGTTGGAAATAAAAATCTGGGTTTATTAACATCAGTACGTGTGTGTGTGTGTGTGTGTGTGTGTGTGTGTGTGTGTGTGTGTGTGTGTGTGTGTGTGTGTGTTGGTCTGCCCTCGCCTTAGGCCAAAGAAGGCAGCAGTCCAACTAGGTCAGTGCTAACGGGACGTTAGAGGTCTGATAGGAAAAAGAGCAAGCTGTGGAGATGTAAGGATGTTGTCATAAATTTAAGGAGGAAAGGAAATAGAAATATTGAAGAAAAAAAGCTTGGCAGACCAAAATTAAAAACTGAGATAGAAAGACATTTAAAGGATTCAAAACAAGAAATTTCAACAACACATAAGTCTTAACTACAGATTTACCTAAATGTAAACATAATTATAAATCTTACAAAAGGACATTCTGCCTTTAATTTTTAGGGACTGAAATCAGCCAAAATTTTACCATCACGCACTGCAGTACTTTCAGCCTCTCAAAAGAGAAAAGATCATGTTGCTATTATTACAGCTGTATGAGGACATGCACTTATCAGCCAAAAGAGTACAACCAACCGCCTAAAACTAAGTTTGGCACAAAGACATAGAAGATAATGCTCCAGCATTGTCTTAAGTATTTCACACTATTTGATCACCAAGTGTCAAAAAACTTCCATCTGAGGGTCACAGCTCTTAACATGTAGCAATTAACCAATTAACCAATCTCAGTGTTAATTCATCTCACACTATGCTATGTGGTTTACTCCCCTCAGCATGCTAGATAATTGAAAATGAAATTGAAACTGATGACATTTCCTACTTTTTCATTAATATTTCTCTGTTTTTTTGACCATTTAGGAGCACTATTGAACATTGAAACATAATTTCCATGATGGTCAGTTTATCCTTAAATATGAGAGTAATCTAAGTTGTAATGGTACACTAAAAGTGCATTCACACCAGCCTTGTTCAATCTGTTTTAAATGAATTCTACTTCCTTTGCCCAGAGATTCCGGGTCTTTGGGTAAAAACTCTGATACAGACCAAAAATTCAAACTCTGGTACGCCTAAAAACCCAGATCTTTTGGTTAAAGTGATCTCTGGTGCGATTCGAATGTGTATGTGAACGCCAAGCAGACCGGAGACTGCTCTAAAAGCAGGAAATGGATCATAGTGCAAAGCATTCTGGGTAAATACAGCCAAAGCAAACGCACAAAAACAAGCACTAGCAGGAAAAATGGCTTATGGTCTTTTACCAAATACAATAGAGAAATCCTGCAACTACTAAAATCTGACGCCACTCCATTTTTTGCTTACATTTCATGTAGGACAGTTGCGGTCAGTGTTTTCTTTAGAGGTTTCCATGTCATTTCCTTCAATGGTTCTTGGTGCAGCGCCACCACAGGCGAGGAGGGGAACAGGTTTTTCAAAGGGTTTGGTTCTTTGACACAGTGCAGTGTGACAGCAAAGTGCGAAAGCTGAAGATGAAACAAATGTTGCAATTTTGGTCCCCATTAGAACTGGACTGTCAGGTGTGCAAACATAACCAGTCCTGATGCAGCAGGACACTGTGAATTCCACATCCTTCATCCCAATTAATACTAATCACGAGGAGAGTGTCAATGTCTGCCACTGTGAGTCATCTCCATTGTACAGTGAAATATTGTGACGACGATATCGTTTGATTTTCTCCTCATGCCCCCTCAACGTTAAAATCTCACCATAATAATGTAGCTCAGCGCATATCCAGGAGTGACTTTCCAGAGTCTCAGCAGCCAGAGGTTAGACGGAAGCAGCACAGGGATCAAGTGGCCGCTTTTTTATTTTTAGTTCACATAAATTCTACATAGAGATTGAGGGAACTTGCATATTCATAGAGGAAGAAAAATTTGGCTGTAACATCTCAACCATGTTTGAGCAGGATTATTTTAATGAGCAGTCGAGCTCGTTTGTTACCCATAGAGGAATTTTAATGCAGCCAATTATAATGCTTTAACTGCCTCGGTGTCTGTATGACCTCAGGTAGCACTTGGCTTCACCACTGGCGGTTCGCCTGCAGAAAGTGGAAGCTGCTCCTAAAGCCGCTGACAGGACCGGAAGCCGGGGCAGATTGAAATGTTTTCTGGAGCTGTGGTGTGGCTCAAGAAGCGTGGATTTGGGGTCTGGCTGCGAATGTAGGGCAATGGGTCATCTGAAGTCATGACACAAACTGGGTGTGCGTGTTTCCTTTTGTGTTGTCAGTTATCATCTTTCTCGTCTCTGTGCATCTGCGCGCGCGCACACACACGCAAACACGCGTAGATACACGTTTGGGTGTCAGTGTGTTTCTTGTCAACTTCAGGCATGAATGAATTTGCGCTGACCTATATTGTGCTTGAGCACACACACGCACACACACGCATGCACACACACATAGATGGTATTTCTGTACTTATGAGGACTGTACATATATTTTCCATACATCCAGCCAGCATGATTTCTTGAAACTTTGAAGCTATTGGTTTTATTTTGAAGGTTTGTGTTAAAGTAGTGATTAGTTGTGTCAGAATGGTCTGAAATTCTCCTGGTCCCAAATTTAAGAATGCTGTCAGACACACACACCCTCCACCAGCCTTGATGTTTATGTCCATGCAGACCTTGAATTTGCACTAAGCAACTGAAACCAGAAGTTTACATACATCTGGAGATGCAACGATCCGATTTTGAAAGAGAATTCGAGATCGGGTATTGATGCAAATGTGACCGATCCATAAGGGCAGATCTATTCAGTGTAATTCTATGCTTTGTGCTTTATCATTTATTTTATATTACGATGTTTAGAACTCCTAGTTGCACTTTCTGAATCATTTGAAAGACTTGTTGTAGTTTATCTTTGTTCGGGTTTTTTTAAGCTGTTCATCTTGTCTGACTCCTGTCCCAAATCTGTCTCCTGTCCCCTTTGTCCACAGTCTGCAGACAAAGAGCAAGCGCTGGAGGAGACCAAGAGCTACACCACCCAGTCTCTGGCCAGCGTCGCCTACCTTATCAACACGCTGGCCAACAACGTGCTGCAGATGCTCGACATCCAGGCCTCGCAGCTCCGCCGCATGGAGAGCTCCGTCAACCACATCTCACAGGTCTGGTGGCGCTAAATGCTCTCACTTGAGTGAAAAACATCACAGTCAGGAAGCGAATAGGAAATATCCAATTATGTGTGTGTATCGATATGTAGCGCCTTCCAAAAATATTCATACCCTTTGAGTGTTTATACATTTTAACTCCCACTTAGGCCTGTCACAATAAGCAGTAAATCAATCAATGGCAAATTAAAACAAGTTCAATAACTTCTATTTGCACGATTCTGTTTTCTCTCTATTGTTCTTCTTTGAAACCAAAGAAATGTCGCAGCATTTATGAAACATTGATTTTTGGAGAACATGATGAATAAAGCCATACATGGTTCTGTTATTCAGAGGAAAAGGACTCGTGGGTGTAACCATGTCATAATCATGTATGCATGCATGAAGGTTCATTTATGTTAGCCTCTCTCAGGCTGAGTGGAGCAGCTCTGAATCTATTTCTGAACTTTGTACTTAGTGATCAAAAGAACTATTCACAGCCATCAAGAAGCAGCTAAAGTGCAGAAACATGTTGTCTTTCTTTACGTATGTGTGCCAAATGCATGATTAGGATGCATGTTTGGTACAAGCTATTTCTCTATTGAGACATTTTATTGTTTTTAAAAGAAAT